AAAGAGATAAAGTGTGTAACTTATAATGATAGTGTGCTATATTTCCTAATATTTACATTCCCCAGTTACCACTAATTATTTTCTTTGAGACTTTATTTTACTTAACTCTTAGTACTTAACTGTTACCACTTAACAGTTATTAAACTATTAAACTTATTCACAGGTGTTCTCTAGTTGTAATTTTGTTGGTTTTCAACAGATACATAAATGGGATGATATTTACATTAATGGGATCATATTTCATAACGATCCGGAAAGAAATTTATAATTCGTCTGTTTTAGATGCAAGGTTTCGTCGAAAGATACCGCGACCGTCTTGGCGATACAGCTGATGCAGCTCTTGTAACCGTTGACGAAAATCTGGAATGGCTGGAGGCCTATGATGAAACCATTCTCGATTCACTAAATGAAAAAATGACATCTGTGCCGACAACGACACAGAGCCCAACACAACCGTCGACGACGCAGAGCCCATCAGAACCGTCGACGACGCAGAGTCCAACAGAACCGTCGACGACGCAGAGTCCGACGGAACCGTCGACGACGCAGAGCCCGACACAGCCATCGACGCCCAGCACCACGACTGACGATGCAAGGAGCCTTCGTGCCACTACACTGGCCGTGCTGGCGCTTGTGATGGCAGTCCGAATGCTCTAACAAGGCAATCAACGTTGAAGTTGAAAATAAAACGAAGAGATGAGGGTCTTATCGAAACGTGTTCCCGCCTTTGACTTTTAAATGTTAATTATTAAGAAGACATGTAATAAGTTTGTGTACTATAATTTGATATTTATGAACACTCTCAAAAACCTTATATTCATTTAAGAGGTTTGGTAAAAGTGGTGAATTTTCATGTAATAAGTAACGGTCTGATGGCAGATAGTGCAGCCGATCCCACTGTTTAGTGTGAAGTTTACTGGTTTTCGCTGCTGTCGTTTTAAATCCTAGTATTTATTTTCCCACAAATTACCCTCATGTGAGTCTTAAACACTAGAAGATGTGAAAAAAGGGCCTGGAAACACTATCCCGTTATTCCAGCTCCTATAATTTAGGGTAAAGAAAGCCAATTTTTTTGCCGTTTTGTTTTTCCACAAAACTGCGTGTATGTCTTCACTATAGCCACCCTCTTTGAAACGCCAATATCAGAACTTACTCCTGCTGAAGTAGGGTAGTTAGAACTCAAAAGCTCACAATATCCCTGTAGTATGCTTGACACACATGTATACATACGAGTACATCACGGACATAAAACTTTTTTCATAGAGCCGAATACTATACTATTTCTCTACTGGGTGGATACCTGCAAATATCCCACATTAAGTTGTAGTGCCTTACAGCATTACTCGTGCTGTATTGAGCGGGAATGAACATTATGGAATTGCGAGGCTTCTATTAAGAATCAGTAGGATTTTCATCTCTGATATTCAATTGTAGATCATTTAAATAGACAATTTTATACCACACAGTTTTTGAGGATTTATCTGCGGATTACAAGATTCAAATCTAAAAGGCTATTAGAAGTGTCTAAATAGTTTCATTTTTAGTATACGACATAAAAAATATAACAAGGTTTCCCAACAACCTGTTTTCCGCATGTTCCCTGCACATTCTCCGGATGAGACCTCTCACGTGTTCATTCCTCGCACTGCCTTGCATTTGCCCCACGTTATCCCTCGCATGTCCCTTGTTCATTTTGAGCGTTTTCTCGCGAATATGCAGTGCTTGTAGAAAACGAAAGCACGGAAATGAACTCTCTCTTCCAAAGTCGGAATACCCGCTGGACACACCGAATTTTACAACAACCAGGCTAATAAGAATCTGACTATTCTGTATCTAACTACCAATAAATGTGTATTGTTGTGAAACTGATTTTTTCTGTTATTGATTTGTTATATTTCTGAAGGAAACAGTAAGTCACAAAGTCCCCACATTCCCCTCCCCCTCAAGACTAATTCACTGGAAACTAAACATCGTATTCAAATTTATTCTAAAATGTTTTTAGTTTGATTTTAGAATTCTGTAAAAATCGTTTGACATGATTTTGACGGAAATACATGATTTAGGATCTTTAATAAAGAAAATGTTTCTGTTTCAAAACGTCTGTTTGTCAGCTCGACAGTTCGTCGAAGTCGTTCGTGTTACAACACTAGCGTCTTAACCTCACAAAGAATTTTCCCAAAAAATATTATTCCGAATCGGTCTGGCTTGCCTAAGGCCTCGAGATAAATCAAATATTTTAATTAATGGGAGTTTATTGTATTATCCCCTGGAACAATTTAAAAATGTTCTAAAAAATGTTAAAATTCTTTCTTAGAAAGATTTACTTAAATAAAGTGCCCTAAAATGACATAAGCGAAAATTTGATAAAAAATCATATTTTTCATGAATTGCACATAAGTATTTTTCCAATCTTTTATATTGTTAATATTTAGATGCATGTTATGGCTATCTTCCTAAATATAGACGCTTCAAATGATGTTTAATAATAAATAATTTAGCGCGTATTCTTTATATTTAAAACAATCATTCAATTTAATGAAATACTTTTCTTAACAGTAATTTTAAGCAAGCGATTAAGTTTCGAAACTGATTTTGCTTATATCTTCTGGTATACTTTCAGATGTGAAGCAAAGAATTTGATACAAATCAGTTTCTTTGATCTAAAAAATCACACGGTTTTATACACAGATATACTGTGACTGTTGCCTATCTGTGGTCAAGATGGCAACACTACATTTGAATACCGCGGGTAAGAAGAAGGAAACCTTATAGATAGACGTTCTGAGACGTTTTGAATTGGAGTGTCCGTGCCGATCGAAGCGTTAGAGAGGTGGTGGGAACGAGTGACGAGGGGATTTGAACGACGGACGCCAGAGGAGACGGTACATCGAGAAGATTAGCGAGAGCTAGGCGTGGAAGTGCTCGCAGGGGTTAAAAGATTTTATGGGGATTGAATCGTGCCACAAGCAGTGCGTCAGAGCTCAGGCTTTTAACGGCCACTTTCCGATGCGCAGGACAGCAAGCCGCCAACACGTGTGCCTGGGGAGGCCATGATTCGACCCGACATCACGGTGAAGGACGACTCCGATCCACAATATTACGATAAGTACTCCCTCGAACGATTATTTAGTAATAACATGGCTCGAGTGGATTGAATAGGCCGTAAATGAAATGCTGAAAATACGGGATTTCTAAAAACTTTCTACAAAAATTCCGAGTGTGAATAGATATTTGGAGGGAATGGAACTTCATTAAGTGGGTGGAGGATGTAGAATTTAAATCAAAATGTGTATGGAAATGGGTTTTCGAATAAAACTATAATTGTGTATGAAACAATATTCAGTTTAGGGATGTTAAGGAACATGTCAGAGAGCACAAATTTTAATTTTATTTGTGCTATAAATTTTAACATTGCTTTCAAGAGAGATATAATTGCTTTTTGTTGTGTAATATAGTTGATTAATTTGAAGGGAAGTATTGTTAAATTTTACATGAAATACTAATGTCAAATAATGTGATATGGTTAATTTATTTGATCTTCTATTGATGTTATTCAAATTAATGTTTGTAACCTTGGCAAGAACTTTGCAAACTGTGCTTGAT